TCTACATATTTTCTAACTTAAACTACATTACTTACAAATGACATAAAAACCATGTCAGGAACTTATGTGTTATTAAAATAAAACATTCAATAGTAATAGATTAAATAATCAAAATTACCATATGCTATTACTATATAAACCAAATTTAATCTGTTTAAAAGTGAGATTCAAGTTACGACGTAATCTTATCTCTCAATGTTAAAATATATCAATGATATATATTTTCAATGTTACAATGTGACAATAAAAAAGTCTTAAATGCTTTCAATTAAACAATTCAAATTAGGAATAAAAATAAACTATTTAATATTTATTTCTTAATTAATATTCTTATTGAAATCTTTACTATTCAAATTATATTCAGCTATTTCCAACTGAGACTTAACCATGAACTTTTACAGACTCGACATTAAAACATTGGTAATAAATATTTTTGCAATACGAAACAACGTATAATCTCATTTAAATAATTCGAAATAACTTATGCAAAAAAATATATTTAAAATTTATTAGGTATATCTTTTAAATGAACGATCGTTCAACGAATGTTTCAATACCAATTTAGTTTTCGGTTAACAAGGTTCAAGAGTAATGTCAAGAAATTCTTAAAGACTTTTCTCCGAAGAGAGAATCCCGCTTCAAGGTTAGACGTTGTAAGTGCATTCAATAGGTGTATAGAGAAAGATTGAGGTTATCAAGAGTGGACTCGCATAACCGTGACATCGTAGAAGTTAGACGAGAATGCATTTTAAGAGCAGAGGTGTCCAAACATAGTCTATTTCGTGTGGTAAATTCGTTAGTGGCTTTAGTTTGAATGGTAAAACGGAAAGAATGTTGGATTTGAAACAATTTCGTTTCTGTCGCAAGATGAAACTCATGAGAGGCTACTCACATTGTTTGCGTCGTAGGGTTTCGCGTTGCGCGACGTCGACCGTCTTCCGCTCGGATTGTTATTTCCCTTGGCCATGATCGGACGCCGATCACACCTATTTACGAGTGGAGAATACGTGCGAAAAGAACTTTGCAGGTCGCATCCCAAAAATTGTCAGCAAATCACCAACTTCGTGCACCGGGAACCCACGAGAGGAAATATGGCTGCCCCAAAGACCGCCACCAGGGCGCCTAGGTTTCCCCCGACTATTGCGCTGCTCTCGCACTTGCCCACGTGACACGGTACGCGCTCGTTGTACTTAAAATCAGCATCACAGACTATATATTCTTACAGAAACGAAACTTCTGGCAAATCCTTCCATTTGAAGTTTCAAAGTTGGAAGACCTTGAACACAAACGTTTTATGCAATGGGAATTTTCTGTCTACTGATCTGAAATACCGACATCGTAAAAAAATGCTGTAATACACTAGCGGACTCTATCCGAATGTGTGGGAAAGTTTGATCAAATGCATCGGTCAGTTAATGAACTACATGAAACTGCAACAGAAATAATATATATCCAAGACTAGTTTATACAGTAGCGTTAGCTCTAATAAATATGATATTGTCATTTCTGGAGAATTAAGTTCATACAAAAATGATCGAAACTATTATATTTTTATTATATATATCGCTTAACGAATTGAAACGAATCAGATAGAAAAATAGAAAATTTGATCATAACTAATATCAAAATATAGATCGGAAATTACTCCTTTAAAATAGTATCATGTATTTATCAATTCGTTTTAAAATAAATAAAAAAATCAGTAAACAAGAAGCAAGCTTTTCAAATGTAACATAACGTTACACGTACGTACAATTCAAAATAAAATACATTATATACTACTTGTTACTTAAAATAATATATTACACGGCACTGCCTGCGGAATTTGCAAACCCTAGACAAAATATTTCATTAAATAAATTTATATATATCTTAAGATCGTTATAGTAGTTCGACGATTCTGCCGCAAATGATGTGAACATAGGCACATTTATGGCGTATTTGTGTCATAGAGCAGTTTACAGAGATGAAACTTCAATGTTTTTTCAAGAGCAAGTTTCTACTATGGAAGCGTTACAAAAATTCTGTTCCATGAAGATAGTTGCAGAACTCAGCATTTTGAAATATCGAGCGTGCATAACGGAAGAAAAATATAGTTTGTACAGTAATGATGCACAACCCTCTGCGTATAAAAGTATAGTGCTCAGTGTCCTTTAGGAGAAGAGCCCTGAAAGGAATGCAGATCTAACTGACAGGTCTAGCTTTCGCCTTTTTTAATCTCATTTTCGATATGAATTTGCTATTCATCAATATGGTTAGACGTAACCAATCAAAACTATGAACAGGACACACAGAGAGTCCGTTTCCCTCGAAAATAGGCTAACAAAAGATAAAAGCGGACCAATTAGATTCGTATTCTTTCTAGGAATCAATTTCTGTGCAGCAATCACAGATTTTGATATCATTGATATCAATTTACCATTTGATATCAATTTCGATATCAATATCACGATACCAAATAAAAATCAAATCGAAACGTTTCGAATCGATTCCCGTTCGATACTTTGCGAAATTATCGATACTCATTTGATAAATACCCAATGCAATTTTTAATACTCATTTGATATTTTTTATAGGTTAATATACAGTGGATCACAAAATTATTCGCTCAGTCGATAGTGCGGTAAAGATAAATGAATTAACCATACAACGAAGAACTTTTTCAGATTTCTTTTGATGGATATACATTATTTACAGTTCAGTGTAACAAAATGGTATAAAAAAGTATAAAGTTTTGATTTATAATTGCAAAAAAACGAATTGTGACAAATATCTACACTTTTTCACGCCACAAAATTATTCGCTCATTTCATAATAATTACTGTTTTAATTATTATCTTAATAAAATTAATATTTAGTGGGATACCCCTTCTGTTTTATAACTTCTGCTAGCCTTTT